CTGAGAGGGGGGTCGAAATAATGCACCACCCTCATTCCGAACAAATATTGGCTCTGAGGAGTCAAATTCAAAATGCGAAACATCTACGTGACATGTTAAGACCCTTCCCCTGCTCCGCTGCCCAGGAAGGGTACTTAATAGACTATCCCAATTTACCCTTCCCCACGCCACGTCGACCGGGGGTGGATTCACCAGAAAATCGAACGGTCGCAATGCGAAACGGGTTTTCCGAAAGCTGGGAGCGGCCCCCAGGGGGCGGGCTCAAGAAATATCGCAGGCGGGTGAAAGGCGGAAGGCTGTCCCGAAGTCGACAGCGGCCCCCAGGGTGGGTCACTGGGTAAATCAGCAAAGATTCCCTTGTGTATCTTCGCCAGACGGAAAGGATAGGGGCGACAAAGACGACGACGACGAATTGCAGTCACCGCCGAATGATCAACATGGCGTCTTTCCTATGTCAGGACATAGAAAACGCTCTGCACGCGCATGCTGGCGGGTGACCACGGTTTCCCACGCGCGTCCGCGCGCGCGTGGTGATCTGCGGTGTCCGCAGTGCAAGACATACAAAAAAAACGTGTCGAGTTGGAAATCCAATTGGTCGCCGTTAAGTGTTCACTTGAGCTCCAGGGCAACCTGGCGACTATCGTTCTTATCCCAAAAAACACTAAACGCTCTACGCACGCGCGCCGGCGGGTTACCATGGTCACCCGCGCGCGTCCGCGCGCGAGGGGCTCTCTGTGCTTTCTGTAGCGGAGGGAATACCAAGGAACATGCTACCTTTGAAATCCACTCGGTCACCATTCAATGTTCCCACGGGTTCTAAGGACAACGTCGTGTCAATTCTTTGGACGCCCGAAATGGGTACCGAAAGAATGGGTACAATGCCCAACAACAAATGTTGTCCCAAACCAACAGCGGCCGCTGTTGGGCAGGCGGCCTTCTGTCTCGAATGGACACAGGCCGCGGCGGCGTGGACAGCAAATCCTGTTCAAAATGAACAGGAACTGCTGTTGGGCATTGTACCCAGTCTTTCCGTACCCATTTCGGGCGCCCAGAAATTCTGTTCCAAACCGTACAGAACGCCGTGCGCAAGCACGCCGGCGGGTGACCACGGTCCCCCGCGCGCGTCCGCGCGCGTGGTGATCTCCGTGGTGCTCAGAATGCAAGACATACATGAAAACCCTATTGTTTGTTGTATGTCTTGCACTATGGACACCACCAAGTGATCACTTTCGTTGCCAGGCCAGCACGGTGACTTTTCAACTTGAGGCACCACAAGACGCTCTCCACGCGCACGCAGGCGGGTGACCATGGTCACCCACGCGCGTCCGCGTGCGTGGGGCTCTCTGTGGTGCTCATAGCACTAAACATCAAAGAGAGCTCATGCTAACGTGGAAGTCAAATAGGTTAACATAGAACGCTCTACGCACGCACGCCTGCGGGTGACCATGGTCACCCGCGCGCGTCCGCGTGCGCGGTGCCTTCTGTGGTGTCCATAGTACAGGACATACCAGAGAATCCACGTTAACTTGGAGATCCAATCGGTCACCGTTAAGTGTTTGCTTGAGTTCCAAGGACAACCTGGCGACTTTCCTATTCCAAACACTGCAGAACACTCTACGTAAGCACGCCAGCGAGTGACCATGGTCACCCCTAAAACCGCGTGAACACTGTGGTGATGACGAACATTATGATGCTGAGGACGACTTCCCCAGCCACATCCTCAGACCTCCTCCCAAACATCATCCTCCCCAGGGGGGGCCTCTGGCGAAGCCTCCCTGGGGAGGTGGGTGCAGCAGAATCCCTGAGAATGCATGGTATGGCGATACCCTGCTCCATCTGGCGGGGCCCCTTGGGGAGGTGGGCGTGGTACAATTTATAAGCATTCGCATGGTATTGCGACACCCTGCTCCCGTTGGCGAGGCCTCCCTGGAGAGGTGGGTGTGGCACAGTTCCTGAGAGTTGCATTGCAATGCGACACCCTGCTCCCTCTGGCGGGGCCTCCCTGAAAAGGTGGGTGCAATAGAATTCCTACGATGTTGCATGGTATTGCGATGCCCTGATCCTTCTGGCGAAGCGTCCCTAGAGAGGTGGGTGTGGTAGAGCGCGTAAGATTTTGAATGGTATTGCGATACATTGCTCCCTTTGGCGACGACGACAAACGACGTACGATGACGAACGCCGATGAACGACGACGACGACGACGACGACGACGAATTACGGATGCCCCATGGGGGGGCGCGCCAGGCCTGGCGACGACGACGACCGGCGACGGCGGGGACGACAACGACGACCCACCGACGGAACTGCGGATGTCGCATTGGGGGGGGGGGACGGTTGGCGAGGAGTGGTTGGGTGCGGAATGTCCGAATTTCTGCTGGCCCGCGGAAGGAGGATGGGTATCGAAAAAAATGATGCTGACCAAAACGAAAGCATTGTCCGCATTTCTCTGGCCCCGCGGACGGAGGGCGGGCGCTGAAAAATATCATGGAACGTTTCCCCGCGAGCCGCGCTGGCCGCAGAATGGGCGGGCAAATTATATACACATCTAAATAAAATTGTATGGATGCATGCATTTGCATATACCTCTACATATACATATGCACTTAACTGTACATATATATATATATACATTCATATATACATATACCTATACATATAAATATACATATACATATACATATACATATACATATACATATACATATACATATACATATACATATACATATACATATACATAACCACAAACATATACATACACATACACATATAGATATACATATACATATACATATACATATACATATACATATACATATACATATACATATACATATACACGTGCATATATACCCGCATGTACATATACGAATATGTATAAATACGCATACAGATACACATATACACATGCATATACATATTCACATATCTGACCATATACATATATATATGCATATATATATACATGTATATACATATACCTATATTTAAACAAATACACATACAGATACATGTACAGATACATATGCATGTACATTTACATACACACATATATATACAAATAAATGTACACCTACATATACATATACATATACATATACATATACATATACATATACACGTACATATGCATATACATATGCATAAGCATAACCAAAACATATGCAAAAATTTATACATGTACGTATACATGTACGTATACATATACACATACATATACATGTACAAATGCATATAAATCTACATATACAGATACATGTCCATATACATATACATGTACCTATACCTCTACCTATGCCTAGACCTATACCTATACATATGCATATACGTATACATATGCATACACATATACATTTACATATACATATACCTATGCAGATATTTATATACATACATACATACATACATACATACAAAGCCTGGCCTGGGGGGGTCCCCCGAACGCCTCTATTTGAAGACTCTATTCGTCCAAGGAGCTGTGGCGACGCCTCTATCCCGCTGACGCCCGGCGAAGCTGGTGACGCCGCTATACGTCCTGACGCCTCTAGTCCCCTGAAGCCTGGTGAAGCTCGTGACGCTTCTATTCGGCCTGAGGCCTCTATTCCCCTGACGCCCGGTGAAACTCGTGACGCCTCTATTCGGTCTACGACGCGTCTGTTGAAGTTGCGGCGCACTGATGGGGTGGCGACCCTTGACGCCTCTGTCCGGCCTGGCGTTTCTATTCCACTGACGCCCGGTGAAGCTCGTGACGCCTCTATTCGTCCTGAAACCTCTTTTCCTTTGACGCCCAATGAAGCCCGTGACGCCTCTATTATGCCTAACGCCGCTATTCCCCTGACGCCCGGTGAAGCTCGTAACGCCTCTGTACGGCCTGACGCTTCTATTCCTCTGACGCCCGGTGAAGCTCGTGACGCCTCTATTCGGCCTGACGCCCCTATTCCCTTGACGCCTGGTGAAGCTCGTGACGTCTCCATTCGGTCTGACGCCTCTATTCTCCTGGCGCCCGGTGAAGCTAAGCTCGTGACGCCTCTATTCGGCGTGACGCTTCTATTTCGCCTCGGCCCATTTGGAGAGCAAGCAGGCAAGCCACACACGTCATGCATTCAATACAAAACACACGAACAAGCCGTGAAATTCCAATGAATTCGGACAAGCCGTGCAAATCATAGTCATAAAACGCATAATACACGCTGAGCAACTCATACGAAATAAAATGCCATCTATGCAAACAGAGGTAGGCCAGGGTGAACCTGTGTATGCCTGAAAAGGCCGATGATAGGCCTAGCCTCCGTGACAGGTAAGGTTTGGTCGGCTTGAGTAAGCCTCAGTAAGCCTTAGAAAGGCCTCTGATAAGCCTATAGCCGAAAGTCAAGCCTAGCTTCGCCAGGGATGTTTAAGTCAGGCAAGGCTGGCTTAGGAAAACACCAGGTAAGCCTGAATAAAATCAGAAAGCCTTAGGTCTGTCTGAGTAAACATAAAAAAACGGCCAGGGCATACCCAACCATAAGGTATCGGCTCGCCTAGGGGACGCCTAAGGGACGCCTAGCCTCGCGTAGGCCTGGGTAGGCTTAGGCATGCCTAAACCAATGTAGGAAGGACTGAGGGTGAGCCTAGCCTATGGTAGCCCTAGGTAAGCCTTAGACAGACTAGGGTAGGGCAAAGCAAGCTTAAGAAAGCCTGGGGAACTTCTAAGTATGTAGGCCAAAGCAGCTTAGTATAAGCCTTGGTAAGCCTGATGGAAGTCTAGTGTGGCCTAAGTAAGTCTAGCCAAGGCTCGGCCTAGGTAGGCCGAAAGTAACCTCAAGCAAAGCTAAGGAAGACTCAGCGTACGCTTGAGTAGCCATAGGGAAGCTAAGCTTGGGTAAGCCGAGGGAGAGCCCCCGGGTAGCCGTAAAGCAAGCAAGCCTACAAACAGTGGATGATTTGACGGGTTGACGGTTTGCCGACTTGCCGACTACGCCTTGACGACTTGACGCTCCGACGCCCTGACGATATGACGA